TCCCTTTAGAGTGACACAGAGTAGAACTATAGGCAAACCTCCCCCCCCCCCCCCCCCCCCCCCCCCCCTTTTTTGGATAGAGCAATGGAGTGTTATAACACGTCAGATTTTTTTTTTTTTTTTGCCAGGTTTTTTTTTTTTGTCCGATTGCAGAGATTTGCCTTCACTTCCTGTCCCATAGCAAACAGGAAGTGAGAGGAAATCCCTGCAAATTAAGGGAATTCCTTGGGAACCCCCAGGTCACCAGAACTAGTGTCCCTATTGGAAGATTTCCCCTCTATTACTTTTCTGGGGACAACTCAAAATTTATTTTCTTTTACTTTCACTTTCAATTATAATGGTAAACAAGACACATAGGCGGAATCTTCTTAACGGGATCACAGACGGCAATAAAAATTGAGTTCTGCACTCCGTCCAGAATTAAAGAAAAAACGTTTTGCCTTCAGTTATACATTAACTGGCCTATTATGCCCAGGGGATGGGAAGGTATGCCTAATCATGTGATCACTGTGACTGGCTGACAGAGTGGTCACATGATTGGGAGCTGGTCCTTGTTTGTTCAAGTCCGAGAGCTGTGTTTGACAGCTCAATCTCTGTGCTGGGAGTGTGCAAGAAGTGTGCAGTTGGCACGGAAACATGTGCCGTCCATAGATACGACATGTGGACGTTAAACCTCACCTGCTTTGCCGCTGCATGCATACATTACATGGATAGCATAGGGTTAAAATGCTTGGCTACTGGGTCAGCACTGGAGGGAGCCTGCAGCAGCATTTTTTCTCTAAGAAGGTACATACTGTAGTTCTGCTCTTCTAATATTCTTCAGCAAGTCAAAGATTACTTGGGCCTGTAATGTAAGCATTTTTTTAGGGGAGTCTTTTTGTGTGTACATACATGCACATATTTGAAGCATTTTTCATGTGATTTCAAACTTTTTATACTTTATTTATTTTTTTTTGGGGGGGGGGGGGGGGGGGTTTGTTTAAAAATTGATTTGGTGTGAAATGGGGCCTTGTGTTAACATTTGTGTATTGTTCTAATTTAATTTTGAAGTATTTTAAGTTGCTGTATAAATATTATGGCATTTAATTTGTTGGCTATTTTTCCTTCTTTCTAGAGCTGTACAATGGTGGATGGTGGTATGATCCTTCCTCTGCTCATAATGGTAGCCTTTTCATCTCCTAGTATAGAAGGTAAGTTAACCAATCAACTTTATTGCTGAGTATTCTGCTAAGTTCAGACAGTTTATCCTTTGTGCTGCCACAGCCGCTTTTGCATCCATTTATTTACATGTTAACAAAATCATTTTAGGCCTGAAGATTACATACAACCTCCAAAACATTATATATTTTATAGAAAATAAAATAGTAGTAGTTCCAATTTTTTGTGTCACACAACAATTGAGCAGCGGTTTTAGGAAAAACAAAATTTCAGTAAAAAATGTTAATTTTTAGGGCACACAAAGGCAATCAATTTTTTAATTTTTTTGTAAAATATAAAAGATGAAGTTATGCCAAGTAAATGGATACCCAGTATGAAAGCCCAAACTGACGTCTTGGAACTTCAAAGGGCTGATTGGACCTTTCCTGCCCCCCTGGGTAACCGTGCCAAGCCAAATATGAGGCATGAGTCTTGTGCCCACCCACAGACAGAAGCACTGGGCATTTCACTCCCAGCGGCTAATCAAAACTGTAGAGCAACAAAGGAGCATATGTTCTGCTGGGGATGAGGGGGCAATTAAATGACCCATTTGCTCTTCCTTGCATGGGCAAGGTACAGGTTAACCTTTGATTACTAAAGAGGAAAACCGCTATGTATGGAAAAGTGTCAGCACCCATAAAAAGAAATCGAAGATGTGCAGTTCTAATAAACTCCCAAAACAATTCCAAATTGCAATTTTTTTTTTTTATTTCATTTTTTTTTTACCAGATTTAGATTGCTTTAGCCCTGTTTTTCTTTGTCACGTGTCTTTTTTCCATCACTGAATGATTCAGATGGTGTACACTATGCCTCTCTTGCTTCATATTTTATTTTTTTTGGCAGGCAAACGTTTTAGATCTTCATTAGTGATATGATTCGATTTACATTTATGTAGGAACTAGTCTGAACAACTAAATGCTTCTCACACCCCCTTGTTACATTATGTTCATCTCCAAGTTGTTTTAAATATTTAAAGCACGTACCTGTTGTGTTAACCCAGTAGGGGATCCTTGTTGTAAACTGAAACAGCCTCAAAACCTGAAAAAAAAATATGTTCCATGTAAAGAAAAATGTATTATTCTGGACTGTTGTGCGCAAACCTCTGAAAACAAAAATTATTGAACAGAAAAAAAAAATGTAATAAAAAGTATTGCAGTCAGATTCCTTGATTTTTATTTTCAGAGATAACTTCAGTAGTGTTCTTTGCCTTCCCCATTCATGGCCGAGGGAAAATTAGAAATGAGCAGATTGCCATGAGCCTGATAAAATACAAAATGTTTGGGCTCGTTCACACCAAAAATGTGCGTTACGGTACAGCCATTCGGAGTTTAAGTGGAACTAAACCCTTCCTATCCTTTACAAGAAAAGGAAGCTGCCATCTTAGCCTCTGTTTGATCTGCAGTTGCCATGGTGCTGCACATATGATATATTATGGCACCTACCATTTGATTGTGAAAATGCACCGATATCGGTATCAGGTGCCAATATCAATATCAAGTATTTTTTTTAACGAGTGCTCGTAGTTGTGAAAATGCTTGCGATACCTGAATCCCTCTTCTTCCTCCCTTACCGATACTTTGCGTTGTGATATGCGCCAATACAAAATGTATGGTCACAAATTGCACCGCAAAGAATAGCATGCAATTTGAACAGGAATGCGATTCCTGTCCAAGTTGCATTTGTTTTTCCCCACTGCTCCTGTGTGATCCCAGGCTTATCACAGAGGAGTGATGTGCGGGAAACCTCCCTGCTCCGATCCCATACTGTCATGCCTGCAATGAGAGAAGAGAAAGCCGCAGGGATTTTAAAATCCCCAGACCTCTGAATCGGCTATTTTTCTCCTCTCTTTGCAGGGATGGCAGTACAGGCTAGATGGCTTCTGATTGGTCAACATCTCTGGCGGTACTAACCAGTCAAAAGCCATTTTGGCCAAACTGTTATCCCTGCACTGAGGGGAGAGAAAGCTGTGGGGATTTCAAATCCCCAGCCTTTTCTTCTGTGACCATATGGGATTGGTGCAAGGAGGTTTCCTGCACCGCTTCTGTGTGAACTCAGGTTATGGTAAGTCTGGGTTCACACAGGAGAAGTAGGCAAACCGCATGCAATTTGGACAGGAATTACGTTCCTGTTCAAAACCGCATGCTATTCTTGGCGTTGCAAATTGCATCAATACATTTTGTATTGACGCAAATCGCACCGCAAACTATCAGTACTTGGTATCGGCAAGTACTTGACTGAAAGTATCAGTATTCCTTCTCACCGATCCAAAAATTGTACCGGTGCATCCCTACTGTAAATGAAAGCCAACAGCTGATCCCTGGGTGTCTTTAAAATCTTTATTAGTCACAGGATAAAAATGTAGTGTTTTGCCTCAGTGTATGCGCATTTCAGCTCATTGGGGCCTTAACAACTTACCGACCAGCAACAGTACATATCCTACGGCTGGGTGGCATGTGCAAGTAACATATGTCGTACGTCATTTTGCCTGCTCTGGTTCAGGGGCATGCGGCTCTATGCGTCCAAAAGATTACAGTGTCAACAAAGCTGTTATGAATAAATTCATTCATAACAGCTGTGTTTTCTATGCTGTAATTGGCCCACATATTACCTGGGTCAATCACAGCACCCTGTTTTGTGTGATTAGCTGTAGCCAATCACAGATCAGTAATGATCACAGCTGCCATGAATGTAACTCATTCATGACAATTGAAAACTTTGCTGTTGCAATGATCTTCATTATAACAGCAAGCAAAGTGTAAAAAAAAAAAAAAAACACTCTGATCACCTCCCATAGTAGTACAGTGTTACTATGGTGACACTGAACTACTCTGATGAAAGTATGTGAAAAAAAAAAAAATGTGAAAAATTTTTAAAAAAAAGTTTAAAAATGATTTTTTTTTTTTTTTAAACATATTGTCACCAGTCAGTGTCCCTGATCAACGCCACGTCAGTCATATTGACAACCCAAATTTTAGATTTACTTTTGCATTCACCTTCAGTTGTAACAGTAAACCGGACAATTAAGGGGGGAAACCTCTCTGACAGGGGCACAGACAGTGATAAAAACCTGACCGTTGTTCTAATCCCTCTCTACTTCATTCAATACTGAAAAAAAGTTGCCTTAGTTATACTTTAAAGTGGCTCTAAAGGCTTAAGGTTTTTTCATTCTATGCATCAAGGTAAAAAAACCTGTGTGTGCAGCAGCCCCCCCCCCCCCCCCAATACTTACCTAAGCCCCCTCTCGATCCAGCAATGTGCACTGGAGTCTCAGCTATCCTGGGACTCCCTCTCCTCATTGGCGGAGTCAGAAGCAGGAGCCATTGGCTTCCTCTGCTGTCAATCACAACCAGTGAGCCAATGAGAAGAGAGAGGGGGCGAGGCCGAGCCACGGCTCCACGTGTGAATGGACACACGGAGCAGGGGGTGAGCACGGAGCAAGCTGCTTGGTGTTGGGGCGCCCCACCAGGAGAGGGAGGGGCCAGCAGCGCCGGCAGGGGACCCGACCACTACACACAGCAGCTAAGTATAACATGTTTGTTATTTTTTCTTTAAAAAAAATTAACCTTTAGTAATCACTTTAAAGTCAAAATGTAATGGTGAGTATTTCCCTTTTTTAAAAAATGTTTATTGTGCGCTCAAAGAAAGTTATCACCAAGTATGGAGCACAGTGGTCTATGTAGTTGGATAGAAAGGGTCTCATATTAAGCTGATCACTCACATTACACTCTGATTGTACAATCTAATTTAGGTCTACAGAGAACTACAGTATTTTTCGCTCCATAAGATGCTCCATAAGACGCACTTGACCATAAGACGCACCTAGGTTTTAGAGGAGGAAACAAGAAAAAAAATATTCTGAACCAATGGACTACAGACCATGGTATATGAAATGACCAGAGACTGCGGATGTACTACAGGAGATGACCAGAGACTGCGGACACAGTACAGGAGATGACCAGAGACTGCAGACATAGTACAGGAGATGACCAGAGACTACGGATGTAGTACAGGAGATGACCAGAGACTGCGGACGTAGTACAGGAGATGACCAGAGACTGCGGACACAGTACAGGAGATGACCAGAGACTGCGGACACAGTACAGGAGATGACCAGAGACTGCGGACACAGTACAGGAGATGACCACAGACTGCGGACACAGTACAGGAGATGACCAGAGACTGCGGACACAGTACAGGAGATGACCAGACCCTGCAGACCTTTTGGGAGCGGGTACACGAATTTGACAGGTACTCGTTCCCACTTTCGCCGATCTCTCACTGTAGTCTTCGGGGACACGTCAAGAAAGGTCCTAGAAGACTACGGGACCAATCGCAAAGCGCAGCACTTCTCGCGCATGCACAGTGGGCACCCGGCTGTGAAGCCGCAAGCTGCCACAGCCGGGTGCCCACAATAAAGATGTTGGCACCAAGGAGAGAAGACGGCTGATGAAACCAGCAGCGATGAGGACATCGCTGGACCGTGGAGCAGGTTCTGCTGCACAGAAGAGCCAAGCTGCCGGCCCGGTATTCTACCACGGCAGCGGCGATGGGGGAATACCGGTCCGGCCGCTCCATAAGACGCACAGACATTTTTCCCACAATTTTTTTTTGGGGGAAAGTGCATCTTAAGGAGCGAAAAATACGGTATGTACCAGAGGCCTGATTTAGATAAAAAAATTGATTGGATAATTTGGATAGGTCCTAATATCACTTAGTTGTTAGTAATATCTACTACACAATCTCCTTTAGACTTACTGTGTATGAGAGCTATTGATAAATGTTGTTGATTTGAGAAATCCACTCTGAAATGTCATCTCTAAAGCCTGGTACACACAATGAGAATATCGGACGAATGATCATCCGTATTTTTTGGGGGATTTTTGCATGCTAGTCTCATATTGAAAACAAATCGGTTACTAGAGTTCTGAAAATTCTCAAAAGACCAAGTACAGCTTCCTGCGATGATGTAGTTGTCTTGTAATGTGTACTTTAATTTCTGAGCATGCGTAGTCTTGGTCCACTCAATTTTTTTACAGACAAATGCTGTACTGGCTAAACAAAATCATTTGTTCCATTATCTTACTGGAAACATTTTCGTGCTTGGCCCTTCGGATATTTTCGCATGAACTGTCATGGTCAGTTCTCGAAAGCTGTGGTCTAAGGATCAGGTTATCAAACAATCACTCTGAAAACCTTTTTTTTTTTTTTTTTTTTTTTTTTGTCTGATTTTCTCATCGTGTGTACCAGGCTTTATTGGTCAGATTTGGATGACTTTTGGAAAGTTTGATGAGCAATCGACAGCTCAAGAATGTACAGTGAACAAATTCAATATAAATCCACGTACTAGAAAGCATAGTTTAATAAGCATTTATTTTTTTTTTTTGCTTTCTTTTTCATTTTTTTTTTTTTTTTTTTTTTAGTTCTGCAGATAACCTTGGTCGAACAATTTGTTTTGTAGAAGAAAGGGTTAAATAAACCAAGATTATGGCTGTAAATTTCACAAAAGCTGGGCCTTCTCTTTGTATTTTTACGTATTTGAGATTCCAGGTCATGGAGTGTTTTAATGTAGTGCGCAGCGCTGTGAAGGATTTGATGATGGTGTTTTATAAATAAAGCTTGGTAATAAGGCAACAACTCTGCAGAGAGCTGGAGAGAGAGAAAAACCCAGCCGCCCTCCCCTTAGGCAAGTCATGCACCTCTCTCGCTCTCCCCGCTGGTATTGTTGTGGCTGGGCTGAGCTTGGCTGAAGAAAAATAAGGGTGATTTAAACAGATGAGCATACTTTATGTGGAAGGATAGGGACACATGCTAGTTTAAAGCTGTATTAAATAGAAAAACAAGGTTTATTTACTGCAGCTTGCTAATCATTTAATATGATGGCTGCTTTAGTTTTCTTTTTTTGGGGAGCTTTTTTCCCCTTTTATTTTCATCTAGTAATTCAGCCAGTAGTACACTTCTTGTCTTTAACTGGCCATACATGGTTCAAAATTTGTTCAGTTCAGCAGGGATCGGCCGAGATTCGATCCATGTATGGGCAGGCTGATTGTACCCAAGTTGATCCATCGATCGACTTGGGTACAACCAGCCTGCGGATATGTTTAAATTCGATTGCTGCCTGCAGATCTAGCTGGTAGCAGTAATAATTGTGTTCTGCCAGCCGGGAAGGCTCCCCATGCTGGCAGAACACATTAGCTCTGAGTGAGGCATTCCCCCATCAATGCTGACACTGTTGATGGGGGAATTGAGCGATTTTCTTTCTTTCTTTCTACCCATGTTGGAAGGATAAAAAAATTGAGTCATCGATGGGCTACTTTAGGGTGTCTCCACTCCACTGGAGGAGCAACAAAGACAGCGGCATGGTCAGTCTGGAGAGTGGATAGTGTTAGATGCGTTAACAAAGTAAAGGTAGCGCTGTCACCTCTTTTCACTTGGGGACAACAGGTCTGGAATCTGTCCTGAGAGTGAGTCTCCAACAAAGATTCATTCAGCTGTGTATAGGGCCATTCAGCAGCCTACATCACAGGACCTGGTTAATGCAGGAAACAATGGACTCTCTACCTCCTCAACTTGTTTTAATGATGATTGGTTGATATTTGGGACAATCCGTTCCATCCTTTGATTTCAGCAAGAGATGGGGTTATACAGTTTTTAAAATTGTGCATTGTTATTCTCTTAGTTCAGCCAGAGTAGGGAGGTTCTCGGCTACCTAGTTTACGGAGTGTTGGCAAGATTTTGCTCTCAGTGCAGACTTCTCTATGTCTTCTGGACTTGTCTAGCTATTCACGACTATTGGGTGCGGGTCCTGCACTCCACGGACTCTAGCTAAATAGAAATTGATAGTAAACAATACTCTTCCATTATATACCCTGTTCCAAATTATTATGCAAATTCTATTTAAGTGTCACAAAGATTAAATATTTTTATTTTTCAGTGTAACTCATGGATGGCATTGTGTCTCAGGGCTTTTTTGATCACTGAAAACAATCTTGGACACCTGTGATATAATTAGATTGGCAGGTGAGCCCAATTTAAGAAAAAACTACTAAAGGACGGCGTTCCACATTATTAAGCAGAGCACCATTTTCAAGCAATATGGGGAAGAAAAAGGATCTCTCTGCTGCCGAAAAGAGTGAAATAGTTCAATGCCTTGGACAAGGTATGAAAACATTAGATATTTCACGAAAACTTAAGCGTGATCATCGCACTATTAAGAGATTTGTGGCTGATTCAGAGCACAGACGGGTTCGTGCAGATAAAGGCACATTGAGGAAGATTTCTGCCAGATCCATGCATCGGATCAAGAGAGCAGCTGCTAAAATACCATTACATAGCAGCAAACAGATATTTGAAGCTGCTGGTGCCTCTGGAGTCCCACGGACATCAAGGTGTAGAGTCCTCCAGCGTCTTGCAGCTGTACATAAACCTTCTATTTGGCCACCACTAACCAATGCTCACAAGCGGAAACGGCTGCATTGGGCAGAAAAATACATGAAGACTAATTTTCAGACAGTCCTGTTCACTGATAAGTGCTGTGCAACCCTGGATGGTCCAGATGGATGGAGTAGTGGATGGTTGGTGGACTGCCACCCTGTTCCAACAAGGCTGCGATGTCAGCAAGGTGGTGGTGGAGTGATGTTTTGGGTCGGAATAATGGGAACAGAGCTGGTTGGCCCCCTTTAGGGTCTCCGAAGGTGTACAGATGACCTCTGCAAAGTATGTGGAGTTTATGACTGACCACTTTCTTCCCTGGTACTGAAGGAAGAACTATGCTTTCCGTAATAAAATCATCTTCATACATGAAAATGCACCATCTCATGCTGCAAAGAATACCTCTGCATCAATGGCTGCTTTGGGGATAAAAGGAGAGAAAGTCATGGTGTGGCCTCCATCCTCCCTGACCTCAATCCTATTGAGAACCTTTGGAGCATCCTCAAGCAAAAGATCTATGAGGGTGAGAGGCAGTTTACATCCAAAAAGCAGCGCTGGGAGGTTATTCTGACATCTTGCAAATAAATTCAAGCAGAAACTGTCCAAAAACTCACAAGTTCAATGGATGCAAGACTTGTGAAGCTGCTATCAAATAAGGGGTCCTATGTTTAAAATGTAACGTGACCTGTTAAAATGTTTAAAAAGTTAAAATATTGTTAAAAGTTTGATTGAAATAGCTTTTGATTTCAGTAAATATGCTGCAAACACAACAAATGACAATTTTCAGTTCTTTACAATCTATAAAGTGTTTTGAAATTTACTGTGCGCAATAATTTGGAACAGTGCATTGTAAGTTTTTTTTTATGTTTAAAAAAAAATATTGTTATTAGGAGATTTGTTCACTAAAATTTGAATTGGACTCTTAATAGTTGATAACATGAGAATTATGCTGACTGTTATTTACATCAATTATTTAGGTAAATGAAAAAAAATATCATTTGCATAATAATTTGGAACAGGTGTATAGAATCATGTACAACAGCAGAGGATGCCCTTCCAAATTTGATAAAACGTGGTCCCCATTGCTTGAGAACCCTTATACTGCAATTATGACTTCCTTTTGCGTTCTGCTTCAGAGGGTAGGGCATTGCTTTACATATTGGGGTCCTTCTGTAAGTGTTCCTCTTTCCAAATTACATTGAATTTTACCCAGTTTCCCTCTGGAGGCTTCCTATGAGGCTTGTTCTCTGTTGTTGAGGGGCTTGATGCTTTGTGGTGGAACTTTTCTATGTGGTTACAACATGTGGTATAGTTTATATAACTCTGGGGGAGTGATGTATCCTCTTTTACACTGTTGGTGATTCTGGTGAGGGTGGTGTACAATTTATTTTTTCTTTTTTGTAAATGGACTTTGCAGTTTTGTGTTGATTTTTTTTTTTATGTTCTTTTTGAAAACTCAAATAGAATGTATTACATTTTTTTAAAAAGGTAACATTTTGATAATTTTTGATCGAAGGATATCTGGTGGGAGGGTGCTGAGGAGGGCACCGACAAAGCAAATTTTGGTTGGATTGTCAGTAACCAGCCAAAATTTGCTCAGTGTATGGCCAGCCTGAATAAGAGTGCTGACTTAATACAAAGCACTCAGATTCTCCCACATCTGTCCCGTAAATAAAATCATAATTCCTTTCACATATGGTCATATTTGAAAGGGAGACCATTAACTTTCCATATTCCATGGATTGTGAGAGAAATTGTTAGGGAGGCGGCGGTTGGAGGTAATGTCAGAAGGAGGAGATACTGCCAGAGCTATGATTGAGGCCTGATTATACAATGTATTATGGCTCTTTGGAGGTTATCTTTCCCTTATTGGTTGCTTGGAGTCAAGTATACTTTGGCACTTATGGGTTGCCCCTCCACTCATCCTAGGATTTTCAAGCTTTTATCCAGCCATATCAACAGATTGTACAAGGAAGTGGATTCCTGAAGAAGCAAGCGCGCTCTATCTATCCTTCTATCTCTCTCTCTCTCTCTCTCTCTCTCTCTCATCTTATCTATCCTTCTATCTATCTATCCTTCTATCTATCTATCCT